AAGTAGAGGATATAACAATATCAGATATCAATAATTTATGAGATTGATGGGTGTGAGGCAGCTACGATTTGGGGTTTATGATGGGTTGTGCTATATATGGTTACTATTAATATTAATGGATATTAATTAATTTTATGTGAGGTTGAATTTCAACTGAACTTGAATCAAGACAGAAAAAAGAAGTGATATCTTTTATCGGATAGATATATTTTTGGTCATTTGGTATATTGTCTTTTATCTGTTAGTAACATCAATAATGCTATTTTGTTTTTTTTTTTGGGTTATGTATTTTGTTTGTTATTATGACTAATATATCATTTTTTAGGAAAAATATCATTATATGTATTAATAATTTAAAAAATGTTTATTATAAAGATAAACAACTTTTCTTTGAAAAAAGATAAGGAATCTCTTAATCACATCACATCATATCATATCCATAATATCTATGTTTCAAAAGAACCCATCTATCTCCGGTCAAAAAAAAAAAAGAACCCATCTATCATCTATCTTCTATCAGCCAGCCTTATATACAACAGATAATCTTTTACAAAATAATATTAGATAATTTTCTTTTCGAAATTTGATTTTTTGGCCAACTAAATTTTTATATTTCGGTAAAATGAAATTAATCAATACTTTCAAATTCAAATTATTTTAAATTTTGTGGTTTAGTTGATGAATATATTTTCCTTTTTGAGCGCCTAAAAAGATAAATATCTCGTAATAATTTTAAATATTAAAATTGATAAGTCATATGAGAAAATTTCAATAAAATTATCTTTTGGGAGAATCCCATTTAAATCCAATTAAAATACTAAAATTTAAAATTAGGGTTTCATTTTAAACACATTCCTAATCAGGCTAAGCGGCTTAATTAAAGATTTACTAATGTTGTCAAAAGTCCAAAATGCCCCTCTTTACTTAAAATATGAGCTGTTATTTTTATATTTTTCTCTTTTGCAAATTCTTTTCCTGAAAAATGAAAATAATAAATTATAACACTGTGTCCTCAATCCACGTTAATAATTTCTCCATCACCCAAAAAAGTCTGTAAAAAATTTGTTGTTTGAATAAGTTTTTCGCTCTTAAAATGTATTCCATTTTTTTAAAAAAATCTGTGTTTACTGTTTAACCAAAAACTTTGTATGTGTATAGATATTACCAAATATACAGAAGATGGATCAATATTAAAAATAAGTAAAAATATAATTAAATCCATCCAAAATTAAAATCTAAAAGTGACAGTGTTGTAATCTCTTGTCATTTGCTAAAGATTTAGTATTTTCAAATTTCAGGAAAATCTGGCAAAAAAAAAAATTGAGGAAAAAAGTTTTAAGGGAGAAAAATATAAAGATAATAATTCATATTATAATCATCCAAAAGTATTTTAGATTTTTAACAATATTTACAAATTCCTAATTTGACCTCTTGACCTGATTAGGAATTTATTTAAAGTATAGGCCTGATTTTGCATTTTAGTTTTAAATAGGATTTTTCGTTGCAAATTTAGTACGGGTCATACGCTAAAAAAGAATTTTAAAATGTTGGTATTCTTATAATTTTGCCACTTACTTTTTAAAAAAAAAAACTCTTAACCAATGTCAAAAAGAAAAACTCTTAACCATTCACACCGAGATAGTAATGCTGGCTAGCCAAACCTATTTGTGACAATTCAACCACCAAATATATTTATTAAAATAGTATAAAATGGTATATAAAATAACTGTCAAAATAAAAGACCTGTTGGCCTGTTTCAAGTAATTTACTGCACTTGAAATGAGTTTCATAATTTGCCAGATTTACAACTTTCTTGAATTACTAGTCTGCATTTTAAATCTTTTTGATAAACTTTCTTGGAACGAAAATTCTTATGGGTCTTACACGATAAAAAATGATGTCAAGTTTCTATAAGCTTCCTCAAACATTGCTTGCAGAGTTCTGAAACCTTCTTTGAAAACTTAATCTTCCTTATAAACAGTAAGACTTCATTTGAAAACTCTCTTGCATAAAGCTTTTTCTCTCAACCGGCGTTCTCCAAAAGCATCGTCTGAAATTGTTTAGAAAACTTTTCAAAAGAAAAAAAATGTTTAAATTATTCTTCTGAAAAATCGTGCGAGGAAAAAAAATTATCTTACCATATAATTAATTTGGAGATATTTTAAAAAATTAAATAAATTATTTAATTATAATATGTTATATTATATTTCTGAAATATTTATATATATTATTAAATTATATATTAATTTATAAATTAGGCAAATTAGTTTGAAGAAAAATGATAAATATAAATATTTTAAACTAATTTATTTATTTGTTAAAAATTCTTTTAGATTAGTCAATTAGATCTTATATTAAGGGTCGGAAGTGAAAAAAAAAACTTATTTGAAATAATTATTCTTAAAGTCAACTTTGACAAGAGTGGAGGCAACTAGCAGACTGAGATTGGAGAGCAATGGATTTGGGTTTGGGTTGCCGGGCATGGAAGGAAGATAGAGTTCTCTCCTCATTACAAATTTTATAAAAGTAAAAACAATTTTAAGGGGGAAAGATAAGAAAATATATGAAATTTGATTCTTTTTATTTTTTAAAAATTATATTTTTAAAAAAATATATTTTACTGAAAATTAATTAACAAACAAGTTTTCTGTGTTTTTTAAAAAATAATTTTGCGCTGCTCAATATTTTAGGATGCTAGATTTGCTTCCAAAATTTTTTCCAGGTGTCAAGTCCACCTTTACTTTCTTTTTTATAATAAACAAAATGATATTACAAGAAAATATTACAAAGTCTTAAAGATAAGAAAAGGAAGTGGGGCAAATGCAAAAGGAAATAAAATAAGAAGAGGATTACCCAATTTCAATGTAAGTAGTAGAAAAGGTTTTTATTTTTAAAAAATTAAGAATGTCATACTTGATGACAATTTACAGAGGTTTTTATTTTTTCTTGTAAACAAGGAGGTAGGAAACTAGGAATTTACGGAGAACTATGTATAACGATATTCAAATGGTTGGGCCACTTCAATAACTTACATGAAAAATCGTGATAAAAGTACAAGAGCCCAACGGAAAACTGAAAAACCAAAACAGGGCGAGAGGAAACAACAACCAAAGCACTCAAGATGAGAAAGAGGAGAGCTTGGAATGTCTGGTTCAATTGACGACTGACGAGATAACCTTAGAAAGCATGGTTTTTTTTTTAATTATTATGTTTCTTTTTGCTAAACCATTATATTAAGATATTGTAATTTAAGAATTTAAGTTTATGTATTAAGCAATTCATTTAAATACTATTGAGATATCAGATAAATTTAAATAAATAAATCAAATTGATATATTTGAATTTGAAAGGATTCTAACCTAAATCATTTGGTTTATAATTTTTTTGAAAAATATAATTTAGTTATTAAAATAAACAACTCGATTATTTAGCTTTTAAGCACTTCAATATCGAATATCCCATTTCTTTATTAAAATATTCTGATTTATTGATTACAAAATGCTATGGTGTATTTCAAGAATTAAGAACAATAAATTAAAGGTGATGTCTTCTAAATAAAAATTGACTAATTAAATCACCTTTAATATTGTTTATTTTTATAAAAAAAATTATGGGCACAAATTTATATTATTAAGATTTTATTTTTCAATCAAATTAAATCATATGTGTTTTTAATTAATTATTTCATACACATCTAATAAACTATTTTCATACCGTAAGGAGCCAATACAAAAATATGAAAGCCCTTTTTCTAAATGGTGAAACTATGAACATATTATTTCACTTCAGTTTTTTCTAGATTTTTTTTTAAATGTTGCAACAGTACCAAGAATTTTTTTTTCCCCAACAAGAATACAAATAGTTATTACCGCATGGTAGAACTATTTTTAATAAATTAAATATTAAAATAAAAAAATAATACACTACAAGTTTTCAGGATTACTGCACACCATGGCGCCCCTGCTTCGGCCGTTGAACTTATTTAGATTAAAGGGAAAAGAAAGATTTTCTTTTCTTTTCTTTTTTCCATCAAGAATTTTCTCATTCTTGATGAAAATTCTTATGCGACTAAAGTCTATATAAGACGATGTTTTTATCTATCCATCAATTATCACAACTCTTCGTTTTCTTCAGCATACTCCACCCAAGAGTCTAACTTTTTCTGGTTCATTGCGTTTGATGGCTGAAGCTGCGAACAAGAGCTGGGAGCAACTCAGTAATTCGGAATGGATAGAAATGATTTTAGAGAAGAAGAGAAAAAAGAAGAAGCATGATGAGCCTCGTTATGTCTTCATCTATTTACCTCCAGATTTTGAAGCCAAGGTTGATCAAAAATTTCCTGCATGCAAGAAATTCCTATTCGTTCAGAAGATTCTAACTGCAACTGATGTCCACCCAAAACAAGCTAGGCTTAGCATTCCCTGTAATGAATTAGAAACGTTTACCTTCTTGAAGGATGAAGAAATTGCGCATCTGAGGCAAGGAAACAGCTTTGAAGTGTGCGTCATACACAAATCCATCAACGGCGGTTTCAAAGAAGCCAAGATGAACTTTTCTGGACGCCATGCTCACAAGGAGTCTCAAGTAGCTGAACGAGTTAGCTCATCCTATGTCTTCACGAAGAGTTGGAACACCCTTGTCTTAGAAGACAACCTCAAAGAAGGAGATACCATCCAATGCTGGGCTTTCAGGGATGAGCAGAATGAGCTGATGGGTATGGCTCTTGTGAAGGTTGATTTATTTGCCGATAATAAGATGTACTGGGGATTATCACATCACCATGGTTTCGACGATCCCCTTGATGTGAATAAATAAAAGTCTTTTCAATTTGTTCCTAATCTTTTAATCTGTTCTGTGCTACTGATGAAGTCAAAGAAACAAGATCCAATCGTAAGTTCCAAGACCGTTCATGAATGGCTAGTAAACAGAGGACAAGATAATTAAGTCAATCCATCGAGAGAGAGTTAAAGATATGTTGCATCAACCCTCAATTCCAAATTTTAACTAATTGTCAAGAGAACAAAGTTTTGCCGAGCTATAAAAAACATATCAGACGTCAGAGAGAGTCCTTCAACCTTTAACTGTGAAACGTATGGTTGCAGCAAAACATTAATCTTAGCACTAGGCTCTTCCAGGCTTTTCTTGATGGGAGGGAAAGCGATCCAATAGTTTTGCCAGTTCCATCTCCTCATCCTGCCCAACAGTGATATATTTCAATTCTTCACTCAGTGAGAACAATCGACAACTCTATATGACCCATTGTAGGCATTAAATGCTCATTATATGTGGATATTGTTCCATGAGTTAATAACTTGCAATGCGCCCCAAGTCTGTGTCTTTGAAATATCCACTTTTCCTGTCATACCTGACCAAATTATTTTTATCCAAGATGGTTGCGGCTGAATGACTCTGCAGAATTCAGTAACATAGATCACTGTCAGCCACCATGAAGATGAAAAATGACTAATAAGCATTATTAGCATGCACCCTGCGTCCATAGTAGGCATAGTACACTAGTTTTAGTATAGAGAGATCTACATGTACCTCATCACCTTCAGCCAATAAGCATAAATGTCCTGAACATTGAGGCTCATCCCCTCATTTGCTTCCTGCATATCATCATCATCCATACCACCACCCATTTGCATAGCCCCGGCCCCCTTGGTTCCACAACATCATCATCATCCTCTTCCTCCTCTTGCACCATATCAGGACCACTCTCCTCCTCCTCTTCCTCATTCTCCTCAAACTCAACCGCAACACCAACATCATCATCAAGGGCATCGTCACCATTAGCTGTAGCAGACCCGGGAGCATCACCTCCCTCTTGATAATCGGTGATGAGCCTATCAATGGATACAAGCTGATCAAATATATGGTTGGGGATAGGGTTCAGAAGCTTCTCGATCTCCTTCTTCTTATCGGGGTTTTTAATGGTCTCGTTCTTCAGTACAGACAAAATTTCGTCAGCAGCACCACTAACTATACTCAGTGGCTGCCCACCCACCTGTTGCTGAATGACACTAAGCATAGCCTCATACGCAGCTCTAGTTTCCTTCGTTTTCGGTTGGTAAACGCCTTCCTCTGTGGAAGTCAGGACACTTTCTTCTTGAAGTCGGCGTCTCTTGCTCTGCAAATTGGGAGGAGGTTCTGCAAGAGGGTCGCGTTCTTTCTTCTTCTTCTTCTTCGCTTTCTCCAGCTTCTCGTCTAGTTCCGGCGGCCTGCCCCTATAAGCTCTGTCACCGAAGCTCTTAGGGTCAATCTTGCCCCATAATGATTCGGGCTCCCCAGTGGGTTCATGAGCGTCCCGTGGTCGAGAGTCTGTGGTGAGGACTAGACTCGAGGTCGCGCGATGATCGCACTGTTTGGATCGAGCGTGTGCCTTGGCGCCACCACCCCGATGCGCCATGAATAGACACTCTGTAAACTGGGAATCGCGCCAGAACCCTGACCAAAGCAATCCCGAAAGATCCCAAGAATATGGGAGCCTGACGGGCGCGGTTTCTCTCCATTATGTAAAATAGTAACATTTAATTATTTATATAAAATTTTTTTGGATGAAAATACAATTTTGCTGGTAATATTTTGTGGGCCCTGCAAATGTATCAATATGTGATGGGTCCCTGCTTCTCTTTAATTTTGGAATTCAATCTTATAACCACGCACGACAATCCATTTCAGTTGCGTTTTACCATATGCTCCAAACGATTGTCGTCGAGTCGAAGTGGAGGCGCAGCGGACGGGAACCTCAGTGGAGAGAAACCGCGCCCGAGCCTGATGAGCTTTATTAAAATCCGAAAATAGTCGATAAAATTTCTAATTCTAAATATAAAGATTAAAAAACGAAATATTCTAAAATGTAAATAATAAGGTGTCATCTTTAATATTGGGATTCTTATTTGACAATTATATATCTAAAATAATATATATCTTAACATAAAATAAAATAAGTTATTACTAGCAATAATTTTAAAAAATTATTTGGATAATATGACATATCCAAATCCAATCACTTAACTAACTCATATATTTAGTATAAAAGAAAAATAAAAGGATTTAAAATACATAGTAACTATTAGGCGTGCTGAAAATGTCCCATTCTGATCATATCATCTCGGTCCCGATCGATTTAAGACCGGACAAGAAAAAATTCAGGAGAAGATGATTCCAGGATGGGACAAAATGGGTAAGTCCCCTCTTGTCCCAAGGTATTTGCTTTTTTTATAAAAAAAAAAAATTGGCTTGTTAAATTATTAATAAATTGTTTTTTTTTCTTAGGCCAATCATGAAACTCAACCCCGCTTTATTTCAAAATCACTCCAAAGCCCACAAGCCTAAATATTACAAGCAACGCTCCGGCCACCGGCCATTTCCTTGTTTGTGTTTGTCTCTCATTACGTGTCATTACCTATTCATGGCAACCAAATAATTGCAATTCATATATGAACCATGCAACAGGTCCAAACAGCAACTTTGCTTCTTCTTTTTTCTCCGAGTATTTATATGCTAGCATGGATTGTTGATAATTAGATACAAATTTAGTCTGTTTTCTCTAATTTCTTCTCATAATGTTATCTTCTATATGCATCTGACAAAAAATATAGATTAAATGTAACATACTTAAAAAAGAAAGCAAGATAATTAATATAATTACATAACCCAAAAAATGGCCTCTGGAGTAGTATATGTATATAGTTCATAACTGAATGCCCACTAACATAAAAAGTGTCAAGCGACTACTTAAATGGATATGTCTTAGCTTTTAACATAATCCTACCTAATGTTTTGCAAGGAATGCCATATTATACTTTGAAACTTCTCTATCCTATCTCCACTACTCAATGCTTTTTAATCCTTATTCCTCTTAATCGACGGCCAAAATAACAAGGTAAATCAGTAATTTTAAAAACATCCTAATTTGATTGGAAAAGAAAAACCTTTAGACTGAGGTTAGAAGTATTCCCAGATGCCTACCCGCAGATTAAATGCCCTTGAGCTTGAAGACGGATACTGTTTTATTATTGTTAGTAATACTACCTCTGATTCTAATTATAAAAGCTAGTTGATTAATTTGGGAAGATTAAGAAAAAAAGTTAAGTTAGTTATTTGTAATAAATAGGTGTTGTCTTTCCTAAAATATCCTTACCAATTAAGTGTATTGGTTATAACTACTATTGTTAGAAGGATTATTTGGGAAAAAATACATAAATATGAGACAAAGTGGATTTGAGTCTTATATTTAGGACCAAAATAAAAATCAAATGAGGTATTATACTAAGAACTGGAGGCAGTATATTATTTTATTCTTATATAAAACAACGAATATTATCATTATCTATAAAATTATTCATATTTGTAATTTTCTTATTCCAGATATTCTTACTAAACCCGCTTTTACCGTTCATATGGGCGTTAAATTGTCCAGATAAAAAAAAAATTAACACTCATTATTCCATGTATTAAATAATTTTAAATTAAGAAAAAATTATTGATTACTATCGTGATTTATTATAAATTACATATTATATACGGATGACATTGATTAGCACCAGTTTCCTGAAAAAGTATTGACCAACAAAAAAAGTTCCCTGAAAAAGGAAAGAGCACCTTCAATTGCTACGTAAGTTTATTACGCGTTACGTGGGGATTTCAGGCACTTGACATATCCGGTTTACATTCCTCCATCCTCATTATCAGAGCAGGGACCTAAGCTTGAAAATATTGCAGTCCGCTCTCTTCCCAGTCGGATCCATACATGGATAAAATGAATTGCTCATCCTCACAGCGGGTAAACGAGAAGCGCAGGAAAAATGCCACAGATCCACCCACCCCCTCGGTTTTAGGAGACGGACGCGACGAAAATAGCAATTTAATGAACTTTCTTGCCAAACAAATCGAACTTCCAGAAAGTATATAAACAACTACTAAAAGTCAATGGGAAGCAAATGAGCAAATATATAACTACCGGTCATCCAAATGTGTATTCGAAGTGGGCATCTACAATATTAGCATGATAAGTTCTCACGCAAGTCAAAAGATAGAACCGCCAATTGTACGCGTTAGATTTACCAAGAAATTTCTGAGGTAGACCAACTACTAAACCAGAAATCAGGCCAAAAAACAGAGAATTACTACAAGAATAGCACCCCCTCATTCTCTGTCACTAAGCCTCGTCACCTTCCTTGACATCAACAGTGAAGTTATATTCCTGATCACAGCCCATGTAAGAGTCACACATCAAGTAAATAGTATAGGATTTCTTTCCAGCTTCAGAGGGAGCAGCAAAATCCAGTTTTGCTTTCAACTTCCGTTGAAGGGAAACCCTTTTAATAGCAAGCAACAAGTTATTCTTAGTATCACCAACAACAAGCCACCATCCCTCCTCCTTGGCCTTGGGATACCTGGGAGCATCAACAGGTCCTACTTCAGTCCTCCCTTCAAGATCACGTTCAAGAGTCACTAGGACTGTTACATCCTCCCCAGCCCGCACAGAGTCACTTTCCAGTACCTCATATGACATATCGATGTTAGGGAAACGATTGCAAAACTGTGCAATATCTGACAGCTGCGATTCAGACATCTGCAATAGTTCGCACCTCTCGTCATCCTCCATCTCCACTAAATCAAACACCGATTCAATTTTCTTCGGGTGCTCCAGGCATCTCTTAGCAAGCTCCTTTGTGAAGTGAGGAAGCTGTAGAAGCATGGAATCAGTATTCCACAGTCCCTGTGTCACCATTTGACTAACTTCCATAGTAAGAAGAGCCAGGCTCAGCCATCCATTGCTTGAGATCACATCAACCATTGCTTGGAGCAGCCTATTTGCAGAAAGAAGCACTTCACGCTGGTCCAATGCAAGGTTCCCACCTATAGGTTGCCTGGAGAAGTGGGCCTGAAGCAAAGCATTAGCTTTGATGTGGGGGTCGGTAACTTTAGGGTTGTCAAAAGAAAACCTCTGGTGATTAATCAACCTACGAACCACCTCTTCCTCCCCAGGTCGTATTGGAATCTGAGCATACTCTGAGGCAGAGGATAAAACCTCCAACAGGCCTTTCATCCTCGTTTTAGATGTCAGAGAGGAAGAAAACCGTTCAATAGTTGTGTAACTGATGTAATAATATGATGCTATCATCCCAAGATTGAGGGGAGAAAGGTCCATGTCATCCTCAATTGCAACACATTTGCTCGCTTCTAAGTCACTCAATGTATTTTCCACAAGCTCTGAGAGGTGATCAGAAAGATGCCTGTGACTAACTCCTTGTAGATTGTAATAGTTGGGATTTTGCGTCAGCCTCCGGTACATAAAAGTCCATGTAAGATAATCAACAGCATCTTGCTTGTTCTCAATAATTCCAGCAACTATTTCAGCATTCAAGTTATCATGCAAGAAGTGATGAAGATGGCTTTCAACAGGGAATGCTTCATACAAGAACTTCTTGTAGTACTCCTTTCGAGGTGCATGACACAGGATGACACATTTTCCTGAGTTGTCAATCAGAGGCCTACTGGCATGACCCATCATTTGCAGAAGATCGGTGACAGGGTAATCTGACTGTGCATTTTCCCGTCCATCATAGAATTGTGTACCCATCACGACTACCAAATGGGCTGATAATGTCACTCCCCAACACAATGAGCTGCTCAAAACACAGACCTGAATCCACCCAGCTTCAAAGAGCTGCGTTACAACTTCACGATCAATGTTGCTTAAGCCCTCATGCAAGTATCCCACTCCTTGCCGTAAAGTGACTTTCAACATTTCATCTTTAATCCCATCAAGGAAAGGTTCAAGCTCCACTGGAGCCCGCAATAAGAAGGGCTTCTCTCCACTGTCTGCATTAGAGTATGTCATCAGATCCACGGCTGTAAGCCGCACATGCTTCCTTGTAGGTACAAAAACAAGAGCAGGTTTCCCATTCTTCGCATGTTGAACAATTGCAGTATAAGTCGGTTTGGTCATTGCCTGCATCCTTGCCTCAAAATTAGCAATATCTATCCCCTGAATATGTATTTCCAAAGGCACAGGACGAACACCGGGGGGGAAATTAAAAAGACCATGAGAGGTAGCTCCAATCCATTCTCCCAGATCCTTTGCATTTGCAAGAGATGTAGACAAGGCAACAATACGGATCTTGTTTTCAACTTGACTGGCAATATATCTCATCCTGGAGACAATCACCTCCAAAATAGGACCTCCCTGACCCCCAATTAAGTGGAGCTCATCGATTATGAAGAGACTAACTTGCTGAATATGTTTCCGCTGTTTCCAGCGGCGGGACAAAGCATCCCATTTCTCTGGGGTACTGATGATAATATGACCTTTCTCAAGAAGTTTCAAGTCAGTTGCTGTTTCTCCTGTCAATTCAACCACCCGCAAATTAAGACCATCTTTAAATTTCCTCACCCAAT